CATGTCTCTTCTACATCAACATGTGTCCCCTCTTCTTCATGTCTCTTCTACATCAGCATGTGTCCCCTCTTCTTCATGTCTCTTCTACATCAACATGTGTCCCCTCTTCTTCATGTCTCTTCTACATCAACATGTGTCCCCTCTTCTTCATGTCTCTTCTACATCAACATGTGTCCCCTCTTCTTCATGTCTCTTCTACATCAGCATGTGTCCCCCTCTTCTTCATGTCCTCTTCTACTCAACATGTGTCCCCCTCTTCTTCATGTCTCTTCTACAATCAACATGTGTCCCCTCGTCTTCATGTCTCTTCTACATCAACATGTTATCAGTGGGTGTCCCTCTTCTTCAATGTCTCTTCTAGATCAACATGTGCCCCTCTTCTTCATGTCTTCTTCTTAGACATCAACATGTGTCCCCGTCTTCTTCATGTCCTCTTCTACATCAACATGTGTCCCCCTCCTTCTTCAAATGTCTCCTTCGACAATCAAACATGGGTCCCCTCTTCTTTCAGGTCTCTTCTACATCAAGCATGTGTCCCCTTCTTCTTCATGTCTCTTCTACAGCGAAGCATGTGTCCCCGCGTCTTCATGTCTACTTCCTACATCAAGCATGTGTCCCTTACTCTTCCTTCATGTCTCTTCTACATCAAGCATGTGTCCCCTTCTTCTTCATGTCACTTCCTTACCATCAAACATGTGTCATCCCTGCTTCTTGCATGTCTCTTCCTACATCAAGCATGTGTCCCTTCTTCTTCATGTGCCTGCTTCTACTCAACATGTGTCCCCTCTTCTTCAATGTCTCTTCTACATCAACATGTGTCCCCCTTCTTCTTCATGTCTCTTCCTACATCAACATGTGGCCCCTCTTCTCTCACATGTGTCCCTTCTTCATGTCTCTTCTACATCAACATGGTCCCTCTTCTTCATGTCTCTTCTACATCAACATGTGTCCCTCTATCCTCTTCTACATCAACATGTGTCCCCTTCTTCTTCATGTCTCTTCTACATCAACATGTGTCCCCTCTTCTTCATGTCTCTCTACATCAACATGTGTCCCCTCTTCTTCATGTCTCTTCTACATCAGCATGTGTCCCTTCTTCTCATGTCTCTTCTACATCAACATGTGTCCCCTCTTCTTCAGTCTCTTCTACATCAACATGTGTCCCTCTTCTCATGTCTCTTCTACATCAACATGTGTCCCCTCTTCTTCATCAACATGTGTCCCCTCTTCTTCATGTCTCTTCTACAATCAACATGTGTCCCCTCTTCTTCATCAACATGTGTCCCCTCTTTTCATGTCTTCTCTACATCAACATGTGTCCCTCTTCTTCAATCAACATGTGTCCCCTCTTCTTCATGTCTCTTCTACATCAACATGTGTCCCCTCTTCTTCATGTCTCTTCTTCATCAACATGTGTCCCCTCTTCTTCATGTCTCTTCTACATCAACATGTGTCCCCTCTTCTTCATGTCTCTTCTACATCAACATGTGTCCCCTCTTCTTCATGTCTCTTCTACATCAACATGTGTCCCCTCTTCTTCATGTCTCTTCTTCATCAACATGTGTCCCCTCTTCTTCATGTCTCTTCTACATCAACATGTGTCCCCTCTGTGGAAAGAGACTCTGAAAGTTTCAGGAACAAAGATTCTCTCTCTTTTTGTCCTGATCCATTTTTATAAAAACCTGTCTGAAAATGAGCTGATCAGATTTTGGCCGCTTTATGATGTCATAACGATGTTTTGGCTTGTGTAACCATTAGCCAATCAGCAACCAAGGTTGCTTGGTTGCTGATTTTGGTATCCAATACTCGGAGTGCATTTTGCCCTCGCACATATGCAGCAAATGTAAGTACAGAAGTACGAGAATTGAGACACAGCACAAAATGAAACACTGTGAAGAACTGAACTCCAAAATGCAATACGAGTCAAACATTTACAGAAATATTTTATTCTGATATATAGTTTGTTTTAGTTTTTTTTATTGCACAACTTTTCAACTTTAAATTCTGATATACTGCACATATTTGTTGTTTCTCATATTCCTTTTGTATTTACTTTTTTGTATATCCTTGTAAACATTTCTTGTTATTTATTAATTTTCCAGGTATTGAAAACAGTTTTATAAACGTTTATACATCATTATACACCAAATCAAATGCCTTTTATGTGTAAAGCTACTTAGCAATAAACCTGATTCCTGTAACGTAATATGGTCTTTAACATCAGGTTGGTGCATTTTACTACAGAGGCTCTTTTGTGTATAAATTCTGCATTTTGCAATCCAGCTGTTCACCAGACGAGACATTTAAACGCAGGAGACTGAACACAGTGAACTCATTCATTAGCAGAGAGGAAATCACAGCAAGATTAAAAAGGAAATGTTAAGAAAGGAAGAAATAAGTGAAGAAGAAACAGCAAAGAGTGGTGAGATCCATCAGAGCTCTTCCAGCTGTCAGAGGCTGGTTTTAAAGGGCGATGTAACAGATGAGCTTTGGGGATGATTCAGTTTTCTGTTTGCAGTGATTGGACGTGTTGAACAGTTTGTTTCTGTGTTCAAGGATTCTAACAGTAAATGTAATGTCTTTTTTACGTGCTTCTTGTCTTTTCATGTTGCTGTGAAGCAAGAAACATTTCAGACTTGATTTGACAATAAATGATTATCGTATCATAACATATTGAATCGTATTGTAACATATTGAATCGTATTGTAACATATTGTATTGTAATGTATTGTATCATATCGTATTGTATCATATCGTATTGTAACGTAACATTGTATCGTATCGTAATGTATTGTAACGTATCGTAACATATTATATCGTATCATACATACTGTATCATATTGTAATATATTGAATCGTATCGTAACATATTGTATCGTAACTAGGGCTGTCAGTCGATTAAAATATTTAATCGTGATTAATCGCATGATTGTCCATAGTTAATCGCGATTAATCGCAAATTAATCGCACATTTTTTATCTGTTCTAAATGTACCTTAGAGGGATATTTTTAAAGTTTTTAATACTCTTATCAACATATGAGTGGACAAATATGCTTTATATGTTTGTTTATTATCATTTGAACAATGACAAATATTCTCATGAATATTAAACGCAACAACCTGAACATTACAAATATTCACCTCAATTCAACCTGGAACCTCTCTCATACAATAATACTGTGTGTGTGTGTGTGTGTGTGTGTGTGTGTGTGTGTGTGTGCGTGCGTGCGTGCGTGCGTGCGTGCGTGCGTGCGTGCGTGCGTGCGTGCGTGCGTGCGTGCGTGCGTGCGTGCGTGCGTGCGTGCGTGCGTGCGTGCGGCGTGCGTGCGTGCGTGCGTGCGTGCGTGCGTGTGTGTGTGAATGTGGAGACACTGTGATGGATCGTTGAGCTATGTGCAGCTCAAGGCATATATGCTCGAACGGGAGCTGCCTGGACGCTGCAATCATGTTGCGCGCACTATCCGTGCTGAGTGTGTTTCGTACAATGTCCCACTGTCTGGCTACCTGCATAAAGTCAAGTGCTCGGCGCAGTTGTCGGCGAAATGTCGCTCCTCTGTTTTCATTGAAACAGCTCCTTACTGTATATCCGTTAGCGCAGCTAGCTAGCACCAGATGCTAACAACAACATGTACGGTGTGCCTCGCTCGCGCCACACATACACACTCCCTCCCGGTCCTCCCGATGGCCAGTCCGGGCCTGCCAGTGAGCGTGGAAGTGTGGTCTGCCACAAGCGGGCGGTAGGAGCGGGGCTGTGAGCATCAGCTTGTAGATGGTATTTTAAACTCGATGCGCTCTGAAACTACGGGGCGGCCGAGGACAAAAAATACACATGCGTTAATCGCGTTAAAATAATTAGTGGCGTTAATTTCTTTTTGCGTTAACGCGTTATTAACGCATTAACTTGACAGCCCTAATTGTAACATATTGTATCGTAACATATTGTATCATATCGTAACATAATATATTGTAACATAATATATTGTAACGTATTGTATCGTAACGTATTGTATCATAACATATTGTATCATATCGTAACATAATATAATATATCGTAACATAATATATCATAACGTATTGTATCGTAACACATTGTATCGTAATGTATTGTATCATATTGTATCGTATTGTATTGTATTGTATCGTATCTTAACATATTGTATCATATCGTATCGTATTGTAACATATTGTATCCAAACCATATCGCAGCGTATCGTCTCCTATCATATCATATCTTATCATTATGTATGGTGACGTATCGCATCGTGACGTATCGTGACGTATCGTGACGTATCGCATTGCATCATTATGTATCGTATTCTATCGCATCTGGAAGTAATTTATATTATTTATTCTTTACTAGTTGGTGAGCCGCCACTCTTCAGGGTGTGATGTGAGTCAATGAGTAGAGAGATGTGACCATGAGGGATTCAGGTGTGTGTTTTCAGTGAGTCAGGAGTGTGTGAGGGAGTGTGTGGTGTGAGGATGTGTGTA